ACAGTGTGAGCATGTTTTAAGTGGCTTGCATTTGGGGGTTGTATTTCCCATTGACACCAGCAGACGGCAGCGGTTTTCACTGTCACTACTAATGCAGAGTCTAATAATCCAAAAGACAAGATGGCAAATATAAGCAATCTAAATGACCTGGGCGCTCCGATAGAGATGGGGTGGGGAGCTCAGTCACACAGGGTAAGCTTGGAATAGAGCCGCTGAGCCCCCAGGTCGAGAGGAGCCAGCAGAGGGAGCGCAGGCGTCTGTTTCGGGTGATGCCTTGCCACCTCAATGGGGAGGTGTCCCGTGGCTTGTTCTTCCAGGCAGAGTCCCACAGGGGAGGACTCAGGACTGTGTCACTTTGGGATTCCACTGATTTTTTTATTTTATGATGACTACAAAAAAAGTAAACATCAATAATTGATGACCATTTCCAAAATTTTAACCTACATCCGAGGACAAGAACAGAGAGATCGTCGATCGTGACCAGAGGTAGATTATTATAGCTAGGATTGGCGCGAGTAATACAATGGGAGAGGAACTTTTAAACTAAATCCAAGATCTTTATCTGATTAAGTGGAAAAGTTAATCCAAACGCTCCCGTGTACCAAACCCAGTCCACCCATCTTTGTGAGTGAAACGGACTTCAAAACCAAATGTAGACAAAAAAAATCATAAATGGTTGAATGTCTCCTTTGTATTTATGCACTCCAATTCCTACAGTCCCCCTTCGTTTGCAGTGTAACTAATCAATGGCAGTTTTCATGCGCCTAAATTTTCTTTTGGGTATCCGCTTTAAATTGTCTTTTATAGTGTCTCTTTTTACAATATATTGTATGTGCTATTGTCATGGAAAAATAATCACACAATCATCAAAAAAGTGGGGTGTGGAATTGCTTGTTATTTGTTCTCTTTCTGCGGGGTGGGAGTAGGTCGCTACAAACTTGTCTTTATGCCGCTCAAGCGCTGAAAAGGTTATGTATCATATAAAGGAAATAGTTTATAATAGATAAAAAGCCGTTATTTAGACAAAAGTCCCGACTGATCTATGTCCGAACATAACATTTCCTTTTAACTTGGTCTCACGTTCTTTGCACAAAATCTGCATTTTTAAATATAAGTAGTGTGAATTGATGTGTGGGCTACTTTTCTGGTTTTCTTGCGGTATAGTAGAATTTAGCAGTAGAAATTTTTATGGGACATCTCTAATGAGAAACGGTTCGGAGGTTCCAATTTTTTCAGGGAGCGATGTTGGAAGAGATGGTAAAAAGAGCAAACTGAAAGGAAGTAGAACGGAAGGGTGCCCAGAATGCTGCAGTTTGGACGTGAAGGGATTGCTGGAGTGTGCATGTATCACACTTATAGAACAAAATTAAGTTGCTCATTCCACTCGGGGGGTTAGAGGACAAATGTTTGCAGAAAGACATGGAGCGAAGGTGGCACTCTGAAAATGTGTTTTTTGATAATGAATAGTGTTTAGTCAATGTCTTGTGGGCAGTGGTGTTCGTCCGTGACACCAGAGCAGAATTCAAGGATCCATGGAAACACCAAGGATATGCAATATTTCCATAATACATAAATGCCACTACAAACATTCATGCTACATCAATACGAGCAACCCATTACCGTTAGGGGAGGTTGTGTCACGCTAAGACTCCAATCTTATAACCAACTTCGGAAAAAAAAGGATAATGTTCTGGAATCGGTGAGATTTGATCCAAACCATATACAGGCATCGGCAAAGGAAGAGTAATAGATATACTATTTGACCGATCAAATGTTGGGGTCACCATGTTTTTTCAAGTAACACTTATTCTCACTCCATAGGTTGTGAATTGAATACAGACATAGAGTCTAAGACTGGACAGTTAGATTAATGATTTGCATTTGAATAACTCTAATTGTATTATAATCTCCCATGTATCGTATTCCAAGAAATTCATTTGCAAGCATTAACATGCATACAAAAAACGACATTGGCAGTAGCATAGTCATTTACATACGCAATGTATAGAGTGTATTTATTAGTTAAGATCAGTTTGAAGTATTATCAGTTGCTTTTCATTACACAATAAGGGACTTTCAATGTCAATTGTTTTTTCTAAAGCGCTTTATTCCTTGCATGCAGTGGCCAAAATTGTCAAAGGACTTTGAAAGTTTTGTGGATGTTTGCGTTTAGACGTTTTTATGAGAAGGGTCTGAATTTGGCGATTTGATGTCAATTACTTTGTCTCATCATCGCTGTTTCTAGTAAACTTAATTGAAAGACCAACTCTTGTCACATTCAGTGGATGCGACTATCCAAAGACGCTAGGTTCATCACATCTTCTCTTACACTGCTGGCAACTGTTCTTGGGATCTTGTGAATAAAGGTTTGGTGAAGCTTTTGAGTGTAATAAGGTTTTCTGTCACTGATGAGGTTTAGCTGAGTGAGAAGAGATCCGCTGGATGTGCTATGATCTTTTGTCTTTTTTTTTGGCATTGATTTCTGGGATAACAGTTCTACTTACCAACAAAACATTCTTGGTTTATCTGCACAATATTTCTTTTGGTCATTATTTCATATTGTAATTACTTATATTTTTCTGTTATTCATTCCGCATTTATGGATGGACGACCTGTTATGTTAGCCACAGCCGTCTGGGGCAGTATCGACGAAGTAGACGACTAATACAGTGCACAACGGCCTTCCACCAATCTTTCTCAAACACTAGGTGTGTCTTTGCAGGGATAGAGCTTCATAAACAATTTATTCTAGATAATTCTGGCATGGGATCGGGTGCAAAACAAAAATAGTGTGGACAAATAACAACAACACGGCCGGAATTGTAACTTTTGATTTTTCCAATCAATGATTTGTTTTTTTTGTTGAATAACGTTTAGTTCAGCGTTATTTGTTTCATAATCAATAAATGACTATATAATAAATTAATTTAATTAACCCAGCATCTGTTCCACTGTGGCAATCGGGATCCCGGAGGTTCTCCATCCATCGTACAAAAGGCCATGACTGCTAGTTTGTACTTGGATCAGCTTTACAGCAGGTTGTGGCATTATGGAGTGAACGGATGGAGTCGGCAGATTAGCCCGTTCTCTGCGAGTCTATAATGGGGTTTTTGTGTACTGCTGAAGAGGCTCTGAGGCGTCCAAGGCTGCGGTCGGGGGTTATTGCTCCGTGAAGCGCTCCTCAGTCAGTCTCTATTTAGTGCCACGGCTGCAGCGGCTCGATCCTGCCTCATGGATCTGTTTGGAGCGCGGCGACTGAAGGAGTGTTTACACGCGCACGCTCTGGCTCAAGGTACTTCCATTTCCTGAATCAATGAGTCGTCAGCCGGGATCTCTCTCCACCGCCACCGCCGGGCAATAGGGGCTAAGTGATGATCGCTCACCGCACAGGGGGGAGGGAAGGCTGGGAGGCTGTGGAGGGAAAGGGAAATGTCAGAAGAAACAAGTCACAAATCAAAGAGGGAGGAGGAAACAACTCTTTAATTAAGATTTAATCAAAATTATCCCATATTATGTTCTCAACGGTATACGTGCCTGCAGATCAGGCATGTCAAACTCAGGCTCGAGGGCTAAATCCAGCCCTCAAGACAATTTTAGTACACGGCACAAGTTAAGTAAAAAAATAGCTATACTAATTAAAATAAAACAAAATCTCTATCTCTAGCATCAATAATAAGTTTAAAAACTTGAAAATCCTTGTTTATTAAAATCTTGAATATAATAATAAAAGAAGTGTAAAAGTTTTACATTTGGCAAAATAAGAGAGTATAAAGTACTGTGTATTCTAGTGCAAGCAGCGTGTAGTTTTATGTTAGCATCTGTACATGTTAGCAGCAGTATGTTCACATCTGTACATTAGCAGCAGTATGTTTACATCTGTACATTAGCAGCAGTATGTTTACATCTGTACATTAGCAGCAGTATGTTTACATCTGTACATTAGCAGCAGTATGTTTACATCTGTACATTAGCAGCAGTATGTTTACATCTGTACATGTTAGCAGCAGTATGTTTACATCTGTACATTAGCAGCAGTATGTTTACATCTGTACATTAGCAGCAGTATGTTTACATCTGTACATGTTAGCAGCAGTATGTTTACATCTGTACATTACATGGTGAATAAATCAATTATAGATAATATAAGAAAACCACTGCTACTTCTGGCTCCAACCAGCTCTGTTCTCGGTTTTTAAATATGCCCCCGATCAAAATGAATTTGACACTGCTGATAAAGATGCTATTCTATCTTGATTAATGTGAGTGTAACCTGCTTCAGTCATAAAATGCTAGAATTGAATGAGGCTAAATTGTCTTTAAAACAGGATTTGTCAATGGAACACATAACACTGTTGATATAAAACACATTTCAATGAGCTTGACTCAGGATAAAACATAAATAAAACAACAACAACAACAAAAACCACTTGATTCAAGCAGATATGATCATTTGTATTTATCAGTTTCTGCTATCATCTTGTAACTCTGACTGCTAAAATTATGACACTTTACACCAGTGTTAAGTTTTATCAACAACACAGGTTTTTGCCGGTGTTTATTTCTGACACCAGATAACACCAGTGTAACCGTATTTAACACTTTGGAAAGTGTCACATCAACACTGAAAAAAGTGGACGCATATAGACACTTTTTAAGTGTTAAAATGAATTCAATCTGGAGAGACTTGAGACGAAGTTTGCATTCAAATCTTTATTGTAGAGATGGATGAATAACTGGATTAGACCCCGGCGGGAATACTGCATGACGTAGGCAGAACGGAGTTTTGTAGAAACGAGAGCTTGTGACCCCCGTGGCCTAGAACCTGGTGGCGAAGAAGCTGTGCCGAAGACATGACATGATACTACACTGAAGAGGCGGTGATGGGGAGGAGGTGGGTTGCTGCTTGAACAGCAGCTTGAGCAGCAGAGAACTGAGAGGCTCTGTTTAACTTCAGCCATGATGAGCACACGTGTGTTACTGAGCAGCGGAGGCTATTGAGCTCAGTGCAGGTGTGTAGGGGAGGAGTCAGTGTAGAGGGAGGAGTCCAGTGTAGAGGGAGGAGTCCAGTGTAGAGGGAGGAGTCCATTGTAGAGGGAGGAGTCCATTGTAGAGGGAGGAGTCCAGTGTAGAGGGAGGAGTCCATTGTAGAGGGAGGAGTCCAGTGTAGAGGGAGGAGTCCAGTGTAGAGGGAGGAGTCCAGTGTAGAGGGAGGAGTCCAGTGTAGAGGGAGGAGTCCATTGTAGAGGGAGGAGTCCAGTGTAGAGGGAGGAGTCCATTCTAGAGGGAGGAGTCCATTGTAAAGGGAGGAGTCCAGTGTAGAAGGAGGTGTCCAGTGTAGAAGGAGGTGTCCAGTGTAGAAGGAGGTGTCCATTGTAGAGGGAGGAGTCCAGTGTAGAGGGAGGAGTCCAGTGTAGAAGGAGGAGTCCATTGTAGAGGGAGGAGTCCAGTGTAGAGGGAGGCAGATGACGTCTCTTTGGTCTTCCATTCAGAATTTGCGCTTGAGCTGTATCCCTCTTGGTGTTGATTTAACACCGGTATTTTGATAAAACCCAATTTTGATAGTACCCAACTTTTTTGAGAGTGAGATTAGATGGATTAGAGAAAATGATACAACATATAGTAATACACGTAGATAAGCATAAACTGAGATATACATTTACATACTTGCATTTCTTTCTTCAGGCTGGGTCAGATGCCAGAGGGTCCCAGAGAAAATGTCCAGATTAAATTCCAGTGATTGCTCTTAATAAATGAAAATAACAGAAAATACATGCAACGTAACATAATCTGTTTAACCAAGCCCACCATTAACATTCATACGTGGTCCGCCTATGGCCCACACCATATGATCTATTCAGCTTCACGTCCGCGACTGGTCCGAGGGGAGGACTGCCCAATCTGTCGCTCCCCTCCTCTCTGCACTTCAAGTCCACTGGAGGAAAATACATGATATGACAAAGTATATGCGTTCAGTTATGACAGCAGAACTGACATTTCCACCGTCCACTCTGCCACACGCCATCAACCGATCCATACGTCAGGCATTTGGCCGTCTGGGATTAGAGTAATACGGTGGTTTTTTCTTATTATATTCTCATCAGTGTTCCCTTGTGTTTATCTCACCATTTATTTCTATAGATTTTCTCTTGCTTGAGTGGTCCAGTGTTGTCCTGCATTCAAGGATCCTGAGATCAGAAAATATCTATATCTGTAACTCATCAATCACTCGCATCGACTGGTAGAAGTTTGACATTATATTCTGCTCTTTTTGTCATTATCAAGCATGTAACTGAAGGCACACAACATAATTTAAATGAAGAAATTCACAAAAGTAATTTATAAAAAGACAGCAGAGGAGGTCTATGTTACAACCAATAGTATTCATTTGTTTTGTTTGTGTGGATGGATGTCTTTCTGCTCCTGGACACCTGAATTTCTCTCTTTTCTCTTTCTCAATAAAATATCTATCTATCTTTCAAGTCTGAGGATTTGTCAAAGCATAATTAGTTTGAAAACAGAGCATTTAGACAGAAAGGGCGGGGGGACGTGTTAAGGGCCAATTGGTTCCAGTGGTTCCTGATATTAGTGAGAATAGCCTGATGTGTTACCTGAAAGCTGCTTCAAGCTGTTTTCATTTGTGTTAATACAGTATGTTTTAATTGTGCTATACAAATAAACTTGCCTTGCCTAATTAAGGGATGGTATGAAACTGAAATAGCGCCTGTTTTTAGTGGTAAGGGAAACTGGAGCACCCGGAGGAAACCTACGCCCAGGCTTCTTTCCTAACAATCCTTTCTCAAGTCTCTGGGGGTGACCGCGCCCACTGTGTAGTCACGTTTACAACTCTACTCTGGACTCTGATGAAAGCTGCTGTGGCCAGATACATTAAAGCTGGAGTACCTGACTTTTTTGGTTTCATAAATACGTTTTTGTTTGTCTCAACAGAAAGTCACACACTTTCAAGAGTGACAGAAATACAAACTAGAGATAGAAGTGAACTTCAAGAGCGATAAGACGGATTTATTCCTTACCTGGGGCAGACAACCTGGATTAGAAATCTGGATTTGAGCTGGATTGACTGGAATTTAAAATGGGTTATGATACGTCTTTATTCATTCACACCACAGCTGCATTTTATTTGGAATGTTGTGACACAATCATACAACAAATGACACTATACAACAATAGAGGCTCTGAGATTTACAACAATGTTTAGCATGACTATTGGTGGAGCTGAAGTTGGTTTTATGACACTGTCAATGTGCCTCAATGGTGGCTTTGATATCAGCAGAGGGCCACATTAAATGGCACAGAGGGCCGCAATTGGGCCACAGGCCTGAGTTTGGACATGCCTGTGTTATTGTGATTTTTCCTTCTCATTACATGATTTTGGCCTTATCGCCCTACTTCAAATCCATCTGGCAGAATACTGTGCACATATCTGAAGCATAAACTAAAGACGAAGAAGGTAAATATACACAAAGACAATAAAATCGATATCAAAACAACGGTTAGCTCAGCTCATACACGCCGAGGACTGTGGAAAAAAAAAAACTATTTGTGTATGCCGCCGGAGAAAAGGTCCCTGTAGAAAGGAGCCGCATTCATCTTGGGCTGTCAGGGCCCCGCCACGCGGCCCCACATGTGAAATCTTTATTTGCCACTAAACAAATTCATTAGAGAGGAGACACGGGCCAGAGCGCGTTCGTAAACGGTGTTGTGTTTATGCCATTATCGCCAGTGAAAGGTTACCGTGTGAGGAGTCATTCGTTATCGGTTGTCAGGGCTGGCCCAGACCACGCCACTGCGACAATTCACTAAACTTTTAGGAACTAAAAGCGTTTGCTCGCAAATAATTGTGTGTCTATATTTTTGATTGTTTGCCTGGAAGAGTAACGTAAATGCCAAATGTATTTAGTATTGGATGCATAATATCACTGTTCTCTCTCCTCTTGTCAGGATGTTAGCCGGGTCATGTGCTAGCCTTGCACGGTAAGAGTCTGCGGTCTGAATGAATCATGGGTGGTTGTCGGCCAATGAGATTGGTCATTGGTCAGAATAATTACCTCTGCCCCTGGAAAAGGTCGTGTGATGACCCACGTTTGTTGGTCTGTCTGCTAGCTTGTTGTCCTACAAAAGCCCAAGAACCTCTGGGTTCCAAGGGATTTGGACAACATTTTCTGGAAACGTTTGCAATGACACAGTAGACTAGTTCTCTGAATAACTGCTTGGATGCAGGAAAGTAGTATTTTGCAGCTGAGGAGTGCAATATCCCGACAGGACTAATATGTGCTATGGACTGCACTGTCTGTGTGTGGCATAATATAACACAGAAACTACGGACTGCACTCTCTATAGACTCTACGGACTGCACTCTCTATGGACTCTACAGACTGCACTCTCTATGGACTCTACGGACTGCACTCTCTATGGACTCTACAGACTGCACTCTCTATGGACTCTACAGACTGCACTCTCTATGGACTCTACAGACTGCACTCTCTATGGACTCTACAGACTGCACTCTCTATGGACTCTACGGACTGCACTCTCTATGGACTCTACAGACTGCACTCTCTATGGACTCTACGGACTGCACTCTCTATGGACTCTACGGACTGCACTCTCTATGGACTCTACAGACTGCACTCTCTATGGACTCTACAGACTGCACTCTCTATGGACTCTACAGACTGCACTCTCTATGGACTCTACGGACTGCACTCTCTATGGACTCTACGGACTGCACTCTCTATGGACTCTACGGACTGCACTCTCTATGGACTCTACGGACTGCACTCTCTATGGACTCTACGGACTGCACTCTCTATGGACTCTACGGACTGCACTCTCTATGGACTCTACGGACTGCACTCTCTATGGACTCTACGGACTGCACTCTCTATGGACTCTACGGACTGCACTCTCTATGGACTCTACGGACTGCACTCTCTATGGACTCTACGGACTGCACTCTCTATGGACTCTACGGACTGCACTCTCTATGGACTCTACAGACTGCACTCTCTATAGACTCTACGGACTGCACTCTCTATAGACTCTACGGACTGCACTCTCTATGGACTCTACAGACTGCACTCTCTATGGACTCTACAGACTGCACTCTCTATGGACTCTACAGACTGCACTCTCTATGGACTCTACAGACTGCACTCTCTATGGACTCTACGGACTGCACTCTCTATGGACTCTACAGACTGCACTCTCTATGGACTCTACAGACTGCACACTCTATGGACTCTACAGACTGCACTCTCTATGGACTCTACGGACTGCACTCTCTATGGACTCTACGGACTGCACTCTCTATGGACTCTACGGACTGCACTCTCTATGGACTCTACGGACTGCACTCTCTATGGACTCTACGGACTGCACTCTCTATGGACTCTACGGACTGCACTCTCTATGGACTCTACGGACTGCACTCTCTATGGACTCTACGGACTGCACTCTCTATGGACTCTACGGACTGCACTTTCTATGGACTGTGCATTTTAGAAACACATATACTGTATGATAATAGATTCTGTCCCTCCTCCTGCACTTCTATAATGTGATCAAACCTCCAGGATAATAACGGCTTATTAACCGAGCGCGAGGTCTGTATGGAGAAATATCAGACCGCGGCCTTAATGTACAGACCGAGCCGTGGCAAGGTCTGTGAGAAAAGGCCAAGGTCTGATATTTCTCTGTACAGGCCGAGCAAGCAAGGTTAATAAATGTTTTATTATATGACTTTCGTCTGTGTCTTTACCAATGCTTTTGAGATATTTGTGAAGTATGTTCATGTCCGACTTGGTTTTGTGTGATACGCGCTGCGGACAGATTGTCATGGTAACGGTCCGAGATGGGAAAATATCAGACCGGTAATCAGCCAATCAGAGCGCGCATACGGTCCAAGTCATATAATAAAGATGTGTATTCTCCCCTTTCAAACCACATGAGATTTAGAACTCATCTACAGTAGAATCCAAAAGTCAGATTCAAAAGCCCTGCAATAGTTACCTCAACCCTTTGATGGAACACTTTTTGAGTCACTATATATACTGTGCGTGAAGCTTGGAACCTAAATCTATATTTTTGCGGAATCTATCAGTTGGTTTTAGGGACTAAATACATCTCAACCATTCGTTAAATGCCTATAATTTAAACATATAACCCAACAAAAAATGTGTGTGTCATTAGTGCTCCTACATCTTAAACAATAAAAATGACATTGCTTTCTTCAAAGAGTGAACATTAAAGGGTCAAT